TTATTTCAGGTATTTTATGCTTTAACATTACGCAGAATGCCCTCCCAACACACAGAGGCTTAAAGTAGGACTAGAGTTGATATAATCATTATTCCTATGCAAATCTAAATATGTTTAATTCATATAGGGATTGACTTATAGTTGTGGTATAGATTACATTTGGCTATGCAGGAACGCAATTTATGAAATGCACATTTGTCCCACACAGATACTTGAGAATGCCGTCTGAAAAATATGATTTTGACTTTTAGCTGTGATGCAGTCGAGTCTGCGAGACTTCATGTTGTATATTATTATCAAGAAATAACTCTAAGGGACCTTTAAAGACAGCCTTTTAAAGTAATTGAAGACCTTTTTTCTGCTGCATTCTGCAAGATGCCTTCATAATACCACCACTTGTAACACAGTGTTTCTGCAGCACCATGAGTGGTGTGCCACGTTGGTGGTGGTCTTCCATCATCTTATAATGCATTTTATTGCACTGATATCGTGTCCATCCCTTTTACTTTCCCCTGCAGTGTTCAGGTCCCACAATCTGATATTGTACAAATGAAAAAAAAAAAAAAACTCTTCCTCTTTCTATTAGGAAGGAGGCAAAACTTAAATACGGTGTGCTTACTCGATGATAAAGTGTTGTTTGTTTTATTTCACGGCACTGAATGCCAAAGTTTACGATGTGATTACGCAGCATATAAATGCATTTCAAACTTATGCCCCGCAACTTAATTCAGTTGGAATAAATTGCGTTATTCTGCGGTTACAGAGGGGCACAACATAAACAAAGGAGAAGCATATGAAAGGAAAGGCCTCCCCATGATTTGCTGATATCGCTAAAAGCAGTCTTGTGTAAAACGGATCAGCAGATTTAAAGCGTTTCTTCTACTGATAGCCGCGCTGATGTTGAGCCGGAAAAGTTTGCTCCTGCACGCACAGTTCACAGGAAGACCGGGGCAGTGGCAGAGGACAAAGACTACGGAGGATTAAATCTGTTGCTTCAGGCAACTAGACTCACTGAATTATTCTTGAGATCCCTGCAATGGGAAAATCATCTCGCCAAGTTTCCTCTCTTATTCACTGACTGTATCCCCTGAAAGAGTACGGATGAGATGTGAGGATGGACTGGGAGGAGAGGGGAGAGATACTGGGATCGGTGGTGGAGCCGGTGAGAGGGAACTCTCCTCTGTGGGTGATTGAGGATTTGGCTGGAGTGTTTTTTTTAAAACCACTAGAAACAATAATGTAGTTAAGAACATGAGCACCAATATTTAGCAGTTATATGAACACTGAGTACACGGGATGTGCATGGAGACATAAATTATATTCATTATAGGGCCTAACTTAAAATAATGCAAATATTTCTAAAGGAAACATTCAGATCATACAACCGAATGAAATGGCTGAATGTGCTCCTCACAGGTACATCTGGAATCACCACATGAGCTCGTCTGCAGCTCAGTGATGTTAAGTTTTAATTATTGATGCCCTGAAGTACCTCAGAAGATTTTTATAGACATACATGCGGCGTGTTAAGAACAATCCTGTAATCCCATCTTTCCCTCAGTCTGCTCAACAGTATTGTGTTACCGCTCTGAAAGGCGGCCGCTTTCGCTGATTGATCACATTTATCGATTTAGAATTGACGCAGCATTTAATTTCAGCTGTTCCTGGAGACTATACTCTGGTAGTTAGTGGCTTTAATGTCACGCCTTTCAGTTTGAATTAATAATGTTGTTCATACAGTGAAGCTTTCTGCAGATGTCATGAGTGAAAAGGAATTGATTTACAGAACCTGGCTCAGAGAGGAGCCACAGTCTAGGATAAGGAGTGAAGAAGTAATTGTGCTGTCTTGGTTTTTAGCATGTTGTCTGTGCTATCTGAGGCCTTTCAGTCGTATCTCAACCCCTACTGAATTAAAACTTTGCACAGCCAGTCCCTGACTTTACCTCTGACACCACCAGTGGTTTACATTTTTTGCTTTGAGGGAAATATCTTAACTATTGGAAGGATAGCCATGGAAGGTGATCCAGGCACACATGCCAAGCACAAGTTAACCAAAAACGTTTCTTCTTTACAACCAAAAACCATTAAAGCTAACGACAGTCATCCTCAGTTGTACCGAAATGTCAAAACTGCTAAAATAACAAAGGCGAACATATCTGTTTAACATCTGCCTCCTGCCATTATCCTCATGAGCTTACTACTGTTAGCCTTCAGCTCAATCCTCCAGCTGACTGACGTCCATTGTGAGAAGATTTGGGTAATCTGGGTTTTATACTGATTCAATAAGTTTATTACAATTGAAGGCTAAAGCTCTTTGGTTGAGGAAAAATCAGCCTGACTTTGTTTTGTTAATTATACACACTGACTCTGTTTGAATGTTTGTCTAGTAAAGCCTGAACTGAGCGAGTTGTGCAGCAGTTTACTGTTAAAAACTTGTTGTGCCAGTTGTTGAACAGACTGAAGCGGAAGTGCCACAGTTTTAAGTAAAGTTATTGAAGTGGGATTCATTTTTGAGGTAACTTGTTTTTCCTTCAATTTGTATATGCTCTTATTTTGTAATTAATGTGTCAGTGGTGGAAAATAAATTTACTACGGTAAACCATTGGTTAAAGAAATCATGTAAAGTTTGCACCCCTTGTTCATAAATAATTGGACACTTGACTTTCTTTTGTGTTGTCACAGAAAAAAATGAAAATGGCAAATGACCTGATAGCAGTCTTGTGGATGACAGTCCTTTACGTGGTTTAAAAAAAACAAAAAAAGCCTCTCTGTGACAGCAAGCCAAGCATGCTCTCCAGGATGTTGGTGTAACATCAGATGATTCACCACAAAAGCAGAAAATACCAGTCTGGACAAAAACAAATGTACGAAAAGATGCTCGGAACCAGATCTGTACCAAAGTTCTATGGACTGATTGACTGATGCTAATTGTATAATCAATGAATCGACTGATGGCTGCAGCCCTGCTCTGGTATTTATCGATGATTTTACTGCTGCTGGAGGCAACAAGAAGATTGCAGAGGAATACAGGAACAATCTGTGTGCTCAGAATCAAAACCCACTGGATAACACTTTGCCATTCAGCGTGTCGGTAAGCCTGGAGATTTGGCCAAAGAGCTGTTTGGGGTTAAGAAGAGGAATAGTCTCAACTGACCAAGAAAGTCCCTTAAATCATTGTGTGATTTAGCTGCTATAGATCAGACTAAAGACAGAGAAATCACAAAGAGGTGAAGGTATTTAAGGCCTGACTGGGTCCTCACATGTAGAAACAATCCAGATTCTTATGATCTGGACTGTATAGCAAGCATTGGTTTGTAGAAGCACACTAGTGAGCATCATGTCTTAGCAGCTGACCCTTGGGATGCCGTATAAGTCATTCTATCCTGGCTCACGTGTGCATTATTTTACACGGCGGGCGGCCCGAGGGCCTGGCTTAGTTGCAGACAAGAATGAGGTCACTTATGGCAAATGGATTCCTGATATCTAACCCATTAAGTGATTTCTATTTTTCTCTTTCCAGCCCCCGTGGCTGTTTACTCACTGCTATACATTAAAACGGCCTCTTCTCTTCAGTTCCGGCTTTGCATCCCAATTCATCTTGCGCACATAATCGAGGTAATCTAGGTGATATCTTCTAGTAATAGACCCCGATGATAAGTTATCCTGCCAGCTCTCTATATGCTACGTCACTGACTTTGATAGAAGAGCTCATTAGTGGCGAATCAGATTTTTAAACGTGTCTTAATCAAGATTTACACATTTCCCATTTGTGCGGGGATTCCTGGGGTTTTGTGGGTGTGTGTAGTGTTTCACCTGAGCCACATGAAGCATATGATTAAACAGTAAAAAAAAAAGAAAGCCTGAGTATTTCAAGCTGCTTTTTCTTTGGTTGCCCCATTGCCTGAAAGCCTCGCTTAACCAACAGCTACAAATTAGTATTTTCATGTAGGTCTCTCATTGCCAGACTTAATAATGTTTTCTTTCCTCTGTGTTTGAAATACAGTTAACCATTATGTCATCGTGTGTGGACCAGAGCCACTGTGATACGCTAAGTGGATTCAATCACAGCGAGAGCCAGAAAGAGAGAGAGAGGGAGACGTAGAGAGAGAGACGGAGAGAGAGAGAGAGAGAGAGAGAGGGCGACGTAGAGAGAGAGAGGGAGAGAGAGAGAGCGAGCCAGGGAGGGAGAAGGAGAATCAAATGACCATTTTTTTTTTTCTCCACTGAAATGGTTGCTTGGCCAGCGCACTAGACGCCCTCCTCCAGCCAGAAAGCCCAACATTGAAGAGTGCCAGAGAGTTCTGCACTTGTCGCACACACACAGCTCTTGTTCTATCAGTGCCACTGAATGCAGACAGATGGTTAATTGCCCCTCTGTGAATGTGCGTATGTGATCTCAGCAGATCTAAATATGGGCCCGTCTAGGTGTGTGTGCGCGCGTCCAGGTCCACCTGCAGTCCTTTGACATTTGAGGACATGTATGGAATTTAGATTTACAACAGCAGATCATCTCTCTCTCTCTCTCTCTCTCTCTCTCTGTCGCTCTCTTTAAATCCAGGCATTCAGCTCTAACAGGCTGCTGGAGCTCAGACAAAACAGGCTCCACTCTAAAAGGATGATTAATTCAAAACTAGCACATAAATGCTACTTCCAGCATTAGTACTGTGACAGTGGAAAAACATGCAGACCTCTCATCGTTGCTTTGAGGGCTGAAAGTGAAATATACTAAATTACTCTGCTTTGTGTATGGCGGGTCACAGTGGCAGATAAAAGCTTTTGTGATGGATAATGGGCGTTGAAAGCTGCAGCCTGAAACCAGACGGCAATAGAAAAGAGTCGTTGTCAAATAGTGACAGATTTGCAGCAGTGATGCGGGGACTTAAGCTGAGTTTAAAGCACAACTGAGGAATAATTGCCTTATGTACAGTTACTGAATGTTGCACAATGTCCAAACTGAAACCTCAGGAACGTAAAAAAAAAAAAGAAAAACAGCCTCTTACCAGCTATGATGGGGGCCAGGCGGAAGATATCTGAGAGGCGGCTATTGACTGGCTCGTAGGGAGAGTATTCCAGCAAATCATTACCTGCGTGGGGAAAAAAAAAAAGAAGACTGTCAACAATGTGAAATTTTGTGTGTATGTAAACACATGCTGGTATCTGATATTCTTTACCATTTGTGTAATCCCTCTGAATATGAGAATTTGTGAAGAAGTTGGACCTTAGATTAACTCATCTCTCTCTCTCATAGATTTAATTCAACAAAAAATAGACATGCATGCTGCCAAACTTTGCTCGCTGCAATCTGAATAAAAAATTCGACTAAGTGGAGCATAATTTTAAATACAGTTACTTAAGTACCTCAATTATGTGCAAATTTGAGGGACTACTTTTTTTTAATTTTTATTTTATGCCACTTAACACTGACATTCCAAGACAGTTCAGATGCAAATGCTGCACTCTGCTGCATTTATTTGACATTTATGAGACACACAAATACCCTGTGATGAGCTTGTAAAATAAGGGAATATAAAATACCTCCCAGTATATAAAAAAAGCTGTAAAGTAGCACTGCTTTGACCTACAGTCTAATGCATTAGTGATAATTAGAGTAAAATACTATCTAATAATGATTCTGCCTGCGTAAAACTGCTGTAATTTCACTTTGCTGATGTTTCCACACATGTGCATGCGTAAGATTTTGAGTTCAGGGCATTATCTTGGAACAGAGAAGGTGCTTTTTTCTTAATACCTTGTAAACTCTGATATATGCTCCAAAAGATCCGCAGACAGTTCTTCTCCTTCTTCATGCCCCTTCTACACCTACAGTTGTAGAGGGGGCTCTGCTTCATGGCATCTATTGCGCTGCGGCACTCGCCCTGCGCCTCGGGACCGGTGACCGCGCTGAAGTTGCTCTCCCTCCCCGCCACGCACTGCCTCATCGTCCGGTACTTGGTGCTGCAGGTATACTCCTTTAGACATTGTTCACTGGCCTTCACGCAGTCCAGGCGGACGTGGCGGGAGGCTGAGCTGCCGTCACCCTTCAAGGTGAACACTGAATCTGGCATTTACAAAAAGTGAGTGAGAACAATTCGCGGGGGGAGATGCGTGCAAACTCATTTTGTTTTTACGCACAACTTAACGATTTGGGCATTTAACATTACTGAACCGTGGATGCCAAAATAATGCACAATTACGCACGGGGCATTAGAGAAACTTTACGGACCTTGAATGTTCGCAGTCGTGCCAAAGCAATCAGAACAAATCAGTCAAATTAACACCTGATTTGCCTTTTTGGCGAAGGACGCACCTTCTGCCTCTGCGTTTATTGAGGTAAAGGTGCAGTTTTTCAAACATATATTAGAGCATAAACAATGTAGAAATCCAACAGTGAATGTGTCACTTACCCAAGAAGGACAACGCAATGACCAAAGTTGCCAGAATCATTGCGCTTTAGGAGATTTCGAAGGTTAAAAGAGCTGTTTCGGAGGATTAAAATGAAATGTCAAGAGAACTTGTCAGACAGATCCCCTTTCCCTCGGAGCGCACATGATGTAGACTCAAACGGTGATGCATTCTGTAGATCCAACAGTGAGAATCCCAACTCTCGACTTGAGTCCAGCAGCTAAAACCACGCCGTGCGAACCTGCCGGACTTTTGGAGGATTGGAGAAGCAAGTAAGACGCGCGCACATTGACCATTTCCACTTCTGCTCCTGTTTTTTGCGCGCTGCTCTCTCTGTCAGACAGACAGCGCTGGTGTTTGATCCGACACAGTCTATGTGGGGCTTAGAGGACAAGAAAAAAAAAAGAAACTTTACAAAGCAGACAGTCAGTCGCAGTATAGCCAATCGGTACAACTTAATGATTCTAAGTGTCCATCACAGTCCTGGATGAAGTGTGTTTAAATCCAACATCCCAAAAGCTGGACACAAATACATCCCGTTGAGCTGGTGGAAAGACAAAAAAAAGCCACTCCGTTTGATCCGGACTGTCCTCCACTCTGATGAAAAGCTCAGGAGCTCGGGGGGTGCAGCGCGTAAAGGTGTGACGTCATGCGGCTTTGCGCACAATAACCTTAATAAAACCATTTAGAGCCGCAATTTACACCAAGCTGCTAAGACAGTCAGAACAAATGGATGGCCAACGGCGAGCAGGTTACACGTGTAAGAACATTTCAGCGAGATACAATCTACTTATTAACTCCGGAAAAATCAACGTTTATAATAGCTCATTATATATTTATGCAACCTGCAGGCCAGCCTAACACTCCAACCTCACACACTTGAAATAAATCTCCCATGAACAGCTAAATTGCCATTATTTTTTAATGTCTCATGAGAGAAAGTCTTTATTTGTCCTTTCAGATCTTTAACATGTACAGAAATAGTTCATGCACTTTAATTTGAGTCAGTGAGTAACCTGCAAGTGTATTTTTTTTATTTTTTTTATTTTGAGGAATGTTTAAAAGTTTCAAGGTATTTCACTTAATCAAATTGAATTGCACGAATCGTAAGTGGAATTGGCCCGAAAGAAAAATCATATTGCTTCTTTATCTGAAATTGCAGCTACCATATAAATTGTGATAACTGCTGACAGAACTTTTTTTTCTATCAGTTTGTTTTCCTGCACTGACAAAAACAACCCAATCAGATGTAGAGAATGCGTGAGAAATGAGATGGCAGCGCTCAAGAATTTCCCAGGTAGACATTTTGGGGCATGCGGCAGCTTTTCCACAGATTCCACCTCCCTCTACTCACTTAAGTTTTCAGTGTATGTACACCGTATATATATATTTAATGCTACATTAAAATGTTATGTACGAGGGAGAGTTCCTTGTGTCTCTTAAAGATGCTCTCCTGTGAAAAACAAGTTTGTTTTTTTTGTTTTTATACCTCCTTAACATGTCCAGATGGTGTTTTTTTTTTTTAATGCTGGATGACAAATTGTGAGCAAATAAGAAGTCAACACCATGACTGAGCATTTTTACCTCGAAACTGCAGCGTATCGATGACTTTCTCAAAAACACAATTTCAGACTTCCAGGGTTTCATAAATAACAGACCTAAAGAACCAATCCCGTCTTTAGCTCGAGGCGGGACTTTCTGTGTCATTATTCTTCTTCGGAATCAGTTTCTGCTTGTTTGGCGAAGCTGCTCCAAATCACAACTCGCTCATTGTGTGGCATCGAGCAGCTTCACAGTGTTTGAGTCCAGGTGAGCTGGTGTGCTCCAGCTGCAGGAAGAGGAGAAGAGAAGGAGACAGCTAAGTCATTGTAATGTGGGAAAAGATTATTTTAATGGAAATGATACAGAGAGATAAGTTGCTTACGACTGGTGAGGGACTTTAAATCTTGAAGAAAAGTTTAAAAAATATAAGTATGAGCAGGTTTAAACGATGAAAACTCCATTATTGCTCACATTTCTCTTTTAGACTTATGCTTAAATCTGTTCACTTACAGTACAACACCGATTGTAGCCTGTTACAGATGCCGCATGATCATTTGCACAAAGACGTCGTGATATTGCGTATGAATAGCTTCGCCGCTTCAGGCACATGTCTCATCTTTGCATTTTAAGCTGTTTGCGAGTCATTTCGTCGCATCAAAATGCCACGTGTAATGGTTGAGGTTGAGGTTAAGGTCAGGGAGAGGGTGCCGCTTATTGAGACTACATGCCGTGAAATCATATGCAACTCGTGATAGCATGCAAAGTAACTTGGTGTGTTATTCATACATGATTTCATTACACCAGGGGCATCGGTAATGGATCTTGCCACGCATAAAGGCGTCTCTGCATGGTGTCATGGAGCAATAGTGGAAGTGGGCAGCCTCACCTGACAAAAGAACACCTCTGCTAACATCAGAAGAAATAAAACATCGCCATTAAAGAATTCCACTTCACACAGCAAATGCCACATTTAATGAGTTCAGCTGTAATCCACAAAGTAAACGGATCAAAAGACGAGACGCATCAGGGTTTGGGTGGCTTATTACCTCCGTTAAACAATTTCCCGGGGGAAACGGTGCTCTTAAAAAAAAATGATAGCCTAAACAACTCATGCCAGCTGTCAAATTTATAGATCAAAGTTCTTTGTGTGTGCTTTTTATTTATTTTACTATCCTCTTTATTCTCTTTAATTCTTTTGCCTCCAAGCAGCATCTACATAAAATTCCTCATGTGTAACAATTAGCAAAAGAGGGGGCGGTGCAGGTATAGCAAATTCAAGCACAGAGTAGTTCATTTGAACAGTGGAGACGGAAGGACAGCTGACAGACGTACACCGATAATCCAAAATACTAAAACTGCCTGTGTAATGGTGTTTAGATCCTCCTTCCTCCTCCACATGATGCCGGGTGGAGGCCTCTGTGGATTCAGCTTGTTCTGCTGATGTTTGGATCTGGGGAATTTAGAGACCAGATCAACGCTTTGAGCTCTTGGTCATGTTCCTCGAGCCGTGCTTGAGCAATTGCGGCATTAGAAAATGTTGTTTCCTTCAGAGTGTGTGCTTGCCCTGCAGCAGTGTTAACATCTAGATGAACTCCAGGGCCTGAGGTTTCCCAGCAGAACTTTGCATTCTAATGAGAGGATCGCTTCACTTTACCTGTCGCTGGTTTTATTGTTGTGGTTGATTGATGTATAATTCTGTCTGAGTGTAAAAGAAAAGCAAGTAGAAAACCCCCTTTCATTATAGGGGGGAAGAAGTCAGTTCAAAGGGGGATGTCACAGGAGTGCTGAGCCTGCAGAGGGTGCAAAGACAAACTGGTATTTTGTGAGGCTTATTATTTTGGCTTGGCTGGAGGAAGCGCTACCAAATTGATATCCCTGGGTTCATAATGGATAATTAGCTATGACTGCTGATATAATGTCATGTGATGGCTACCTTTCTACTTATCTACTCTATTATATAAACGACTTTGAAAAAAAACCCATTAATATTGTTTAAGAATTATTGATTTTTTTCCCCTTCTACTTCATGTTTAAAAAGAAAAGTCAGATGTTTCATAATGCGCATGAATAGCCTGCTTAACAGCAACAAGCCTAAGTGTGCCAGCAAACTGAATCGATTGGAGCGTGACTGATTAATCAATTGTGAGTGCCCAGTGGATTACAATGGCATCTTAATAAAAACTCATCCGCCTAGATATAAATCATGCCACATTTCCTAGCTTAAGAAAAAAAAAAGAGAGAGCAGCATTAAAGAGATTGATTTGTCTGTTTATTGTGTAAAGAATGATGCAAAGATGAAAAGGCTTCGCCTCCTACATTCACTGCACTTCAACCAGCTCTCACACTGTCCCACTAGACATTTTTCTTGTGGAGTTTATTTTCAGTTGTATTGTTAACCACATGGTAATTCCTCATCTCCCAGTAAGTGTTTGTAGATTATTGCACAGCCTTTTGTAAATGCACTGGACTATTAGACCAATAAGTCAATATCTCTCCTGTGAGCTTTTACTGCCTGGGTGTTCAGCTCATACACAGAACTAATCATTAAGTATGTGTCTGCTACGTTGCTTATTAAAGGTATCAGTGAAGTATTTGTTCACATTTTAAAAGCCAAAAAACAAATCTGACTTAAGCAAATCATAGGAATGACATGTTGGAATGATAAGTTGCTTTATCATCAGCTTGCTCTGCCGTCACTTGGTTAAAGCATGTTTTTGAAGCATTTATTATCACATGCCTGATTTAAATAACCACACTGGGATGTTAAAGTGTGATTAATTACTGCTCCGAGGATCTCTACTGGAAGATAAGAAGCCGTTAGTTTCCAGTGACACTCGCTAATCTTCTGCATTTCCTGCATATGATACACGTGCAAATGGAAAATCTATACAGCATCTGCAACAAGAAGAAGCTCAAGCGCCGAGGACCCCTCTGTAGGTCCACGGGAGAATTCTTCATTACCTTGCAAAAGCTATCTGTCAGCATTAACCATCTCCTAGCCTTTGTGGTGAGGATTCATTTAACGTGTCCCCCAAGAACACTGAAGCCTTTTGCTGCTCAAGAACACTTGTGGGGATGAGATTTATTAGGGTGTAATCAATATCATTGTTCTGAGTATATCGCAAGATCAACACTAACCAATTACCGGGTCCCTGGGCCGGTCTCTGCACCTCTGACAGGATGCTGTAACTCACTTCACATTTAAAGAATTAATTTCTTATTGAAGGCTTCATCAGTCATTGCGTTGATCATATAAACGACCTTTACTCACATGTATATAATTAAAGAGTTTGACTTACTCAGCAGCTTCTCCACCTTTTACAACGTTACACGACTTTTATTAAAATCATAGTACATGCAAAATGGATTTTGCTCGCTGTCCTTAGGCTTCAATAGTGGCCTTTAAAAGCTGGTTGCGAATCCGCACTAGAACCTAAACTGTGGTCAGCTGACTTTAGGTTGGTTATGTAGCATAATCCACCTCTCCACTGTACATCTGT